AATAAAAAAAAAAAAAAAAAAAGATTTAAATTTAGTGAGTGTACGAGCACGTTTTCGACACCACCATCTTTACAGATGTGTACTTCACATCATGCAAAACCCACTAAAAAAGTTTCTAAAAATAATAAAATTGTTAAGACCCCGAACTAAAGTGAAAACAAAAAGTAAAAAGTGAAAAAAAACTTGGGCGAGCACGTTTTGACACTGCCATCTTTGGCGATTTTTAATTTTCATTTGGCTGAGCCAAATGACTTGAAAATTTATAGGCAGGTACCACACGTCATAGAGAAGTAAAAAAAAAAAATCAGAAAAAAAAAATTATTTTTAGGCCCCAAAATAAGTTTTGGCGGGGGCCGAACGCCGCCGGGTTTGGACCCCGTACGGGACCCCGAACGCCCGTACGTACGGAGGTCAGCCTGGGGACCTCCGTACGTACAGGCTGGTGACCCTGTACGTTTATATATAAATTAAATGACTATTATATCAAGGTATGCCGACATTAAATGTCAAACATAACAAACTAATATCAACTCTGGTATAAATTTGTCATGCTCAATACATCAATACGAAGCTAAAAAAAAATAACAACAACCACCACCAATAACATCAACAATTTTTTTTTGAATATAAAACATAAATAAACTTTGTCAATCTATATCTTAATTTTTACAATTATTTACGTGCTCACATTGTATTGCCAACTTTTTAACAATTTGTAAGTAATATTTGATAATGATGTTTTAATTAATTACCCAAACGCTAAATGTTTTTCTAACTCTATATCTCTATAACGCCGTAAGTTCGTCACATTTTCATTTCAAATACACACAGAAAGACAATAACATATAAATATGTTACGAGTACGATCGTTGTAAACAGGTTAACATAAACAATTACTAATTGCGAAGAAAAAAATATATATATAGAGAGAGGTAAACATTGAAACAAATTATGCATGATAAAATATAATTTTTAAATAAGTGTACTTCATCCCATAACTCTCATTTGTGTTTTACTGTACACCATCATAAGTAATATCAGTTTTGGTATATAAAACTGAAATATATAATTTTATTTGGTATATACCTAGGTTACCAGAATGGCCCGGGTTCACTTGCCTGGCCGGGTCAAAAAAAAATAAAAAAATAAAAATTATTTATTTATTAATTTTAAATTTGGTAAGGAATTTCGATATGACCTTGAGGCAAAAATTTTTCAGTTTATTTGTCTGCATTACATAGCGTTTTTTTCGGATTTTTTTTTTTTTTTTTTTTTTTTGCTAAGACCTTCCCTAATCCTTGCACGGCCGGGCCGCCTGGGAAAATAGGATGACCCGGGCGGCCCGACTGGTAGCCTAGGTATATACCTAATGCTTTAAGAATATTTAATAAAAGGTAAATTTTTTATAGATAATTATGAAATTGTATGGAAAATTGATAAAAAAGGTGAAGAAGAGTAGTAGATGCATAGAGGTGTACTACTGGTAGTAGTGGGGTAGTTAAATATTATAACAGAGAATAAACGAATAAAAAGAGGTAAAATAAATTATGTAGAGAGGGAGAGAGAGAGAAAAAAAAAAAAAAAAAAAAAAAAAATCATAATATATATTTGCCAGATGTATTTCGAATGTTCAACATATTTTGTATCTCTCTCTCTTTTTCATGTGCGATCGTTTAAATATACGCGTTTTTTCCCCTCTCACGAGTGCATATTTTTCTTTATCTTTGTGCTTGTTTTGTCATATTTGTTATATACAACTCCAGAAAACAACTATATATATATGTATATGACGATATAAATACCGAGAAAAAAAAAAAAAAAAAAAAAAAAAAAAAAAAAAAAAGGGGGGAGGGATAAAGACAAGGTACCACAACATAATGGATTTGATTAAGGTCTAAATCTGTGCATGTGTGATAATCACGACTCTCTGCATTTCAATCCAAACCTCTTTGCTAGCGGGCAAGTACCATGGGTATATCAGTTGATATCCAAGTGGTCTGTTGTGTCTAATTCGACCTTAAGTATGTGGATAACTTTGACTTTCATGTAGCTGGGTATAAGCGCAATTTGGCCGATTCACCTTAATCCTGATGATAATTTGGCGTGGGTATGACCATAGTTTTAACATTCTGACAGCTGGTTACAACATTAATTTTGTGGGTTCATCCCTATCTTGGGTCTGCAAATAAGTTGCACCGGGCGTTTGCTGGGTATAGATGCATGTTTGTCATGGGACTGGGTATTTTTTTAAATCACCAGTATTTCCGAAAGTAGTGCGCACTAACAAGCCACAGTTTTAGAAAAATTACAAGCCACTACAACAACACCAAAATTCATTCAACTAAAAACGTTTCCACTCTATTTCTTTCCATGGCGGATAGCAGAGCCAAGTACTGGTGCATCAGTACTTCCTAAAGTAGAGCATGTTAACGAGGCACAATTTTAGGAAACGTACAGGCCACTACAAGAGCGTTCAAATTTATCCGACTACAAACGTTTCTACTCTATTTTTTTCCATGGCGGATAGCTGGGCCAAATCATGGTGGAGATGCAATTTTTTTCCCCCCGAGTGATATTGAGCAAAGACTGCTGATTTTCATATGGGGAGGGGACCGAAGGGGAGACACAGTGACTGACCCATCGAAGAAGCTCGGTTTTGATGCTTCCGGCTGACCCCTGGCCGGTATCGCCCACCCGCTGTAGCAGGTATCACACTTGCTGGTGGGTTCCCGCATGTTCCCTCGTTGGAGGCTTGAGCACGGATGTGGCTGCTACAGGGTTCTTCGTAATGCTATAATGACAATAAAAAAAGCCTGAATGACAGGTAATTGAATTGGTTGGAGCCTGTTTTTGCCGACCCTGATTTTCACTGCGCTCCGAGTTTTACCGAGTCTGGGTCCCACTCCATTTCTTTATGGTACTCTCATGGGAAGAAAAAAAAAAAAAAAAAAAAAAAAAAAACTTGCGGCCGTGAAAACTCACAAAACAGGAAAAAGAAACAAAGCTCTGGACGTGATTGCAACTGTATACATTCTCGGAAGTGTTAGTGTGAGTGTGCCCTCAGTGAGGGCATCTCAGCCCCGTGGCCAGGTTGTCAGATTCCAGAAACTTAAAAAAAAAAAAAAAATAGGAACACGGATTCGGCCGTGAAAATGACAAGATACATTCTCGTAAGTGTCAGTGTGATCAGGGTTACAATCCTCTGAAGGAACACAGCTCGAGCAAATCACGGATTCATATTGTCAGATTCCAAAAAAAAAAGAAAAAAAAAAAAACCGAAGACACGGATTCGATTTTGAAAACGGCTGGATACATCAGGGTGACAATCATCTGAGGAAACACAGTTAGAGCAGATCACAGATTCCGCCCTGCCTCGTTGGCAGGGGGCACATAACAAACAAAAGATAAATTAAAAAAAAAAAAAACAAGTTAAGAATGTGACTGTCTTTGTTGTAAGATGCATTCAAGACTGTGAGCGCGGCCTCCTAGACTACCCTGTTCGACATCATTGCAGTACAAATACCTTTTTTTTTCCATTTTTCTTTCGTGCACGGGCAAAAGAAAAGTACGATTTTTGGGACATCGCCGACCTTGTGTCCGACCCCCGAAAACTTCGGGTACTGGCCAGGACAACGTAATTTCCCAACATTGGCGGAGGTACTGGTGGTTAAAAAAAAAAAACAAAAAAAACAGAGAGATGCAATTTTCTCGAAAAAGAGAAAAAAGGCATAGGGTTGTGCTCCACTGCCGATCCCTCAAGGCTCTTAGGGCTGTATTCCCTGCGCCCCGACCATGGGGGAGTAGGGTCCGGGTATATATGCAAGTTGCCTGCGGGGGTCTGCGCATATAAAGCGAATTCCCGTCTTTGAATGGGGTATGGATGCAAGGTTTCTGAAAAAGAAACCAACCTTGAGGGCTGCGAGCACCAGGAAACGGTGGACCGCAGTCCAAGAACCCCGATTAGGGGTGTTCGCCCTTACCCCTCCAAGGCGGACTTGCGCCGTTGCCGAATGGTCCCAACGTGATCCAACGGGCTCCACGGTTCTGGGGTCAAAGCACGGGGGCCGTGACTTCCTACCTACTGGTAGCCCCAGTACCCCAGCAGTACCCCAGTACCAAACTCCCGCCCTAACGTTTTCCCCATCCAGACCACGAATGATACCGGCTTAGGATCACCATAGCCGGGTTGTTCTGGTCTTGCAAGCTCGGAGGGCGAGAGGGAAAGGGAGTCCCGGCAGGGTAATCAAAGGGAGCTGCGGCGTGCTGTCGTTTGTTCTTGCGCGTATTACTCCCCCTTTTTTTGTTTTTGTTTTTGTTTTTGTTTTGTGTTGTGATCGCTTTCCGACCCTTGCGGTCTCTCTCTCTCTCTCTCTCTCTCTCTGTGTGTCTCTCTGTGTGTGTACGCTTGTGCTCCCTCCTCCTCCCCGCGTTTTTTGGTTCCTCTCTCTCTCTCCCTCCCTCTGTGTACGCTTGTGCTCCCTCCCCCTCCCCGCGTTTTTTTCATTCCTGAGACGAAAAAGGGGTTCCTGACTGCAGCGGCAGCACAGCGGCGGCGGCAGTTTGACATCTGTAGCGTCGGGATCTCGACTTATCCATCTTTGGACATAGATCTTGTCGCGGCTTGTGGATATGGCGGAAGCTTCTGAAGCGCAGAGGAAACGTGCGGCACTCAATGACTACCGAAAAAAATTATTGATACACAAGGAGCTCGACGCACAAGTTCGACGCTGTAAGTTCCCGCGCATTCATTCGTCCTTATATTACTGTGTTTCCTGCTGCACTCCCTCCCTCTCTCCCTCCCTCTCTCCCTCCCTCTCTCCCTCCCTACGGGCTTCGCTCCACTACTCTCCACATTCACAAAAGACAAAAAAATGGCGGCGAATCTTTCCCTGTTCTAGGGCAAGATTCATTCTCATTTTCTATCATTTGGTGAGTAGTGCGGTGAGGCCCTATGCCCTCTCTCTCTCTCTCTCTCTCTTCCTCCTCCTTTTCTTTGTCGTTCTGCTTTTCGTTGTGTGTGCTTCTTCTTAAGACCCTCATTTCGTTCACCCTTACGTTCTCCTCCGTTTCATCTTCCGAAGACCTCTCTCGTTTGTGACTTCCCAGATAATCAGATAATCATAAATTGTCTTGAGGTTTGTCTGCCTGTGTGGTCACGCCTTCTTATGTGCCTTCCCTCTCCCCCCCGTCCCCCCCGCCCTTCCCCCATCCTTCGCTCCCTCTGTCCATATCACTATCCTCCCATCTCCCTTTCTCTTCATCCTTGGCTTCATCTCTCCATCTCTTTAATCTCTTCGTCTCTTCATTGAGACGATCGGACTTGAGCCGATGACTTCATACTTGCAAAACATGCGTTCTACCACTTGGAACTACGCCTACGCCCCTGACGCAACGGAGGAAAAGGGATATTAACCCATGATGATACAATCTTGCTGTATGTTGATTTAGCAATCCAGTCAATGCCTTCAGCCACTCAGCCATACCTCCCTGGAAGAACGGGATTTGAACCCACGACCTTCATCTCGTCATCTCTCCCTCTCTCCCTCTCTCCCTCTCTCCTTCTCTCCTCTCCTTCCCTCCTCTCCTCTCCTTCTCTCCTTCTCTCCTTCTCTCTATCTGCCTTTCTAGTTGTCCTTGTCTGCATATCTCCGCCTCTCCTTCTCTCTCCATTCTTCTTTCCATCTCTCCATCTCTCTCTTCTTCTCTCTCTCGGTCCCTCTCTTTGGCACTTTCTCTCTCCGTCTTGCTCCCTCACTTTTGCCTTTTCTAGATCTATCTCGCTCTGCTTGTCTGCTACGTTCGCCCCTCAGTTGAGCATTTCCGCCTCTTTCTCTATCTGTTGTCTCACATCCATTACTTCTGACCTCTCTCTCTCTCTCTCGTGCTTCCCGTCGCTCATCCTCACTTTGCCGATTCCTTGCGCCGCCTTCTCCGCCCCCTTCTGTGCGCCAACTGAATTAGGTGTAGTTCAGTGTCCTGACTTCCAAAGGTATCCCCTGCTTCTTGTGCTAAATGGTCGCCATTAACGGTCCTAAAGGGGCTGGGTTTGGGTTAGCGTGCTGTGATAATGGGATCAGCTAGGAGGTATTTCGGACTGCCCCGCACTCTCCCCCCCCCC